GGCGTGTATAGCCGCTGTCGTGAACTTGAGGAGCTTGCTGCGAGAAGGGAACTTGCTGCTACGGGTGATGTGGATATCCTGGAGCGCGAACTGGCGGACGCTCTCGTCCAGCTGAAGGCGTTGGAGGGGGAGAACGCTGCCCTGGCTGCGCTGCTCGCTGCAAAGAAGGCCGAGATGGTGGAAGCTAGCGATGCAGCAGGGAGGAGCGTGAGGGAGCTGGAGTCCCGTTTGTCCGCGGCGGTGTCCGAGGCGTCTCATGAACGCGCGATGGCGGAGAAGCTCATTAGCACCACACGCGGTGCGCTGACTGCAATGGTAGAGGAGAATCAAAAACAGGTAGAACAGCTTCGCGCGGACCACGATCAAGCCCGTGCTACAATGCAAGCTGAACTTGTTGCGCACCGAGAGATGCGCAACGCTCGTATAAATGAGAGGCTATCACATCCAGAACTCTGCGATAGCGCTTCACCGCAGATGCCACCGCCAAATACTGAAGTGCCAGTGGCCCCTGAAATAGTGCGCAGCGAACCTCTCTACAGCGTCACCATCGACGAGCTCAACAAGACAACAACACTCAACGAACAGTTGACGCGCGCCCTTGCGCAGAGGGAGGCTGACAATGAGAAGCTTGCAGAGGAACTTGCGCAGAGGGAGGCTGACAATGAGAAGCTCGCAGAGGATCTTGCGCAGAGGGAGGCTGACATCGAGAAGCTGACAGATGAACTTGCACAGAGGGAGGCTGACAATGAGAAGCTCGCAGAGGATCTTGCACAGAGGGAGGCTGACAATGAGAAGCTCGCAGAGGACCTCGCACAGAGAGAGGCTGACATCGAGAAGCTCGCAGAGGATCTTGCGCAGAGGGAGGCTGACAATGAGAAGCTCGCAGAGGATCTTGCACAGAGGGAGGCTGACAATGAGAAGCTCGCAGAGGACCTCGCACAGAGGGAGGCTGACATCGAGAAGCTCGCAGAGGATCTTGCACAGAGGGAGGCTGACAATGAGAAGCTTGTGGAGGAACTTGCGCAGAGGGAGGCTGACAATGAGAAGCTGACAGATGAACTTGCGCAGAGGGAGGCTGACAATGAGAAGCTCGCAGAGGATCTTGCGCAGAGGGAGGCTGACAATGAGAAGCTTGCAGAGGATCTTGCGCAGAGGGAGGCTGACAATGAGAAGCTTGCAGAGGAACTTGCACAGAGGGAGGCGGTAATTGAGGGTGCAGAGGCGGACGCGAGTAAGACAATTGAGGGTGTGTATAGCCGCTGTCGTGAACTTGAGGAGCTTGCTGCGAGAAGGGAACTTGCTGCTACGGGTGATGTGGATATCCTGGAGCGCGAACTGGCGGACGCTCTCGTCCAGCTGAAGGCGTTGGAGGGGGAGAACGCTGCCCTGGCTGCGCTGCTCGCTGCAAAGAAGGCCGAGATGGTGGAAGCTAGCGATGCAGCAGGGAGGAGCGTGAGGGAGCTGGAGTCCCGTTTGTCCGCGGCGGTGTCCGAGGCGTC